GGTTATAGATAGTGTTAGGCATTTGGGTATGTGCTTTTCCAATGCTATTTTTTAATCCCCTTTGAAGAGAGGTGCTTTTTTCCTTCAAACACCTTGTATTTGATGTGCTTGTTGTGTGTATCTTACCTAAATTTAAGATAGTTTTATTTAAGTGATTTTCTTTTTGCATTTTTGTCATCGCCTTGGAAATAGGTTGTTAATACTAATGCATGTACAGTTGCAATGTTTATAGCTTTTTCTGAGGTCTTATGTAACTTTAATGACAGTGGTGCATGTTCAATGAGTGTTTGCCATGAGAGACAATAACAACACACTTTTTCTTCCAGTTAATGTGCATCACCACTTCATGTGCTGTAGGTGTAGCACCCTGTGCATTGTTCTGTATTGTTCTGTGGTCAATGGTACCCACAATAATGCATTCAGTTGCTAGTTTGTGCACTAGAAAAATAATTTTTTCTTTGTTACAGATTAAACATTTTTTCACTTTCTATTTTCCATCTAAAGTACATGCAACATGTTTCACTGCCTTGGCAATATTTTGATGATCTAGAAGATGGGATTTTGCTGACAGATGAGTAGATGCCCCTGTACTCGGCACTGGTGAGGCTGCGCCTTGAATCCTGGGTTTAATTTTGGGCCCCTCACTACAAGAAGGATGCTGAGGTGCTGGAGCGTGTCCAGAGAAGGGCAACAAAGCTGGTGAGGGAGCTGGAGAACAAGTCTTATGAGGAGCGGCTGAGGGAACTGGGGGTGTTTAGTCTGGAGAAGAGGAGGCTGAGGGGAGACCTTCTTGCTCTCTACAACTACCTGAAAGGGGGGTGTGGCAATGAGAGCGCTGGTCTCTTCTCCCAAGTAACCAGCGATAGGACAAGAGGAAATGGCCTCAAGTTGTGCCAGAGGAGGTTTAGATTGGATATTAGGAAAAATTTCTTCACTAAGTGGGTGGCCAGGCATTGGAACAGGCTGCCCAGGGAGGTGGTGGAGTCGCCATCTCTGGAAGTGTTTAAAAAATGTGTGGATGTGGCACTTCAGGACATGGTTTAGGGGACATGGTGGCGCTGGATTAATGGTTGGACTTGATAATCTTGACGATCCTTTCCAACCTAGTGATTCTGTGTGTGATTCTGTGTGATGGTGGGAATTGAGAGATGAAGTAATCTTAAGAGTTTTACGGACTGGTGCTAGATAACTACACTGGTTTCAGATTCTTCCAGAAAAGCTTTTAATACAACCTGTTTTCTCCATAAAACATTTGAAGCTGGCAGTCTCTGATATGGTACTCACTGCTTTGATCTGCTCTCGTCATATTTTGAGTGTCACTGTTGGCATTCAACACCTTGGGAAGAGAAGCTTTCTATTTTGCCTTTCAAAAATTACATATTTCTGTAAGTGGAAAAATATCACATCCTTTTTAATAAATGAGATATATTTTTACATCATAACAGATAGCCTGAGGGGATGGGACATAGACTGAATGCTAAAGACCTACAGTTTCTAGTCTGTGCTTTTCTGTATTCTGTTTTTAATAGTTTGTTTCAGTTTCCATCATTTACTAGTGAAAACCTCAATCTTTGCCATTTGAGAATGTGTAACAAGCACCAGTTCATTTACAAGTACAATAAATTGTATCTAGATGATCACCCGGGATGGAGAGTGTCACCTAATTCTCCTCTTTGTGATTTTAAAGCTGTTTTCTCCCTCATACAGCAGTGATGAAACATTGACATCAGTATCATGTTTGGCACCGGTCTTCAGCTGGCCTGGCATCCAAGCTTTTCAAATTACATTTGACATCAGTCACCAGAAAGATTCATCACAGTAAATCCTTTTCCTACAGATGTTTTATGTGTAATTTTTCCTTGAAATAGTTTATATATTTACCAGGAAGAAACATTTCCCTTTCCTGCTTCTGACTATTACTTCACTTACCATTTCTTCATTTATTTTTGCTGCCCATTTGTTTTCAGTGTAACCCTCAGCTGACCTAAGAATCTGGTTTGCCAAACATTTCCTCGAAGGCTGCTTATCATTTCTGATGGATATGCACTCTGCTGGGTCATACAGTGCAAATTTGATCCAGATCAGTCTGTGACATAATTACCTTTCTATTAAATTAGCTGGAGCGGATGAGATTGGTGTTTGTGTCAGCTTGTGATTTTTTTGAGTTGGCAGGGAGACAACAGATGATATTTGATCTGTCTAAAAGCTGAAGTGTCGTGAACAGATGATATCTGATTATGCCTAGTGTCTACCAATTACAGGCACTTCAACACAGTTTTTGAACCAACAAAGTGAGTTTATACCACAGTGGTGTTTTATACTATGTAACTCAGGGTTTTTTTAATCCAGTACTAGGTGCCTGGATTTACTGAACAGCTTAACTAGAGTGTGGTGAGTCTCCAGCAGTTTTCATTTGTTCTTTGAACTTTGAACAGTCCTTTGTGATCCTACCGAGTCCTGTTGGTCGATCATTGCTCCTGACATTCTTACCACTGTTTTTCTCTTTTAAATAAAATCTATTGGTAATAAAGGTGAAAACAGGTTGGTACTGACTGTAGACATTTTTAAAGTTCTTCCATTTTCTCAAATATTGTTCAATGTGTTTATCAACATGTAAATACTCACTTTACCATTTATCATCTGATAAAACCACTTGCAGGAAAATACCAGGGAAAATTGCAGATGTCAGTGTTGTTATATGAAATGTTTGTAAAACAAACTGTAAAGATTCTTCGTCATTTTTTGTTAATGTCCCTTTTGGATTCCTGTCATAAGACCTTAGACTCTTGGAGTTTTTAAACTGTTAAAAAAAATCTCCACTTCTGTTTGTGTTAGTACTAATTTTTTTTTTTAATAGTATTGCTTTTCATAACATGCTTTTCTAGAATGGGGAGGTGTAGAAGCCTGCTAACTGCTTTGTTGGAGTCAGTTATCAGGTTCTTCTTATCATAGTTTTATATCAATAATATCTGTTACACTCTTATTTTGTCCTTAAGTAGCTGGAAGGACTTCCTGTCTTGTAATAAAACAGGCTTCAGTTCAAATTGGTAAAGTACAGCTTACCCAAGTTGTTAGGAAAAATCCAAGCCGTTTATTTTTTAAAAGTCTGTATTGCCTTCTTAACACGTTATGTTTTCATGCTTAAAATATTTCAGCTATGGTAAGGCTTGAACAAAGAGCTAGTAAGAAAATTAATGTCATCAGAAACAAAACAGAAAAACATTCTTTATGCCTAGTTTGCCAAAATGGTTGAAGTGATATTTAATGTTTTATACTTGATTAAATTACCTTGCTGTCATTTTACCCCCATGACTCTTGAGCAGTGTAGGAGTTTGTCTGGGATGCATGACTAGTGAGGTGGGAACTCATCACAAATTTAAGTCATGAAGCCCTTTGCTGTCACCTTGGTGCTTTTCCTGGGGGACATGCTGGGAGGCAGCAATGTCAGCTCGAGCCAAAGAAGAGACAGGAAGAGAGGACCCTCTGAAGACATTATGAAGTTATTTTTCTAAGGAAAGAAAAGAAAAATTCAGAAGAATCTTGGGGGTAACTAGCATGCCGAGTCTTAAGCACTAGCAATTGTTTGCAGTCCCTTGGACATTTTGGTATCAGGACATCTAATTTCAGGCCTTCTCATGAAAAACACTATACACCTCAAACCAAACTTGGAGAAGATTTTAAACATTCTGTTTCTTTTGTTTGAGAATGGCATTCTTTGTTGGTTGTGTAGAAATTCTGGCCCCTTAGTGTAGCTCAGTGTCTTCTCATCTGTGAAGGGTTGTATGGTTTGTTGCAGTCCGTAGGAATTTCTGGCATTGCCTTACACTGACAAAAGTTACTCACTGTTGTGTTTTTCACTTCCCACAGGTTGTTTTATAGGTATTGTTTTGGCCTCTTTAAAGCATGCAATCAGCAAATAAATTGACATTTATGGCATTCTCATCAAGGTTTAAGATGGTCTGCTCCACACTTAAATTGTTTGAGGATTCATAAAGCAGATAAATAGAGGAGGTAGGAGAGAATTTCCCAGGACAGTGGAGGTGAGGGGGAGTGGGGAAGAAATAACGTGTCCTCTCTGCTGTTTCTCAGCACAAATGTGGCCTGGAGATCATGTTTCTGTAGGAGAGATGGGATGAGGAAAGGCTTGATGCAGTATGGTCTGATCCTAAAAGATTATTCTTCCATGATATTTTATAATTAGCTCCTTACGGGTTCACATCATCTGTTCGATAGTAACCTACTTCACACTTTTTCAATTTGAGTCTCTCAGTGAATATTCTCATATGACTTACCTGATGTCATATGAATTTGATGTTTGGCCTCAATTCGATGTTTGGCCATGACAGTTAGATACACTGCTGCTGGAAATCTCTGCTGGGCTTGTTTGGAGTGGCAGGGCTTGGCTGTCAGCCCAAGCTTGGCCTTTATATTTTTGCTGGCAGAGTAACATTTTCTAAAAATTACTTTTGTCTATTTTCTAACATTGGAACTGCAGTGATCACAGAAATTTTAGGAGATCTTTATGCAGGAAAGATAAAGATGACAACATCAACATTAACTTCCAAACACTGATTCCTTACTTTTACATCTACCGGCTTAGGTAGCATTTGATGCAGTGCTCAAATTCCTGTAACTAAGGAGTGTTACAGTTGCAGTATTGTATGGGAATTTGAAATTGCCTTTACTGCTTAGTTGTTGCTAGTTTATATTATCTAGTGCCCTGATTTTAGGTTGGTAATTGCAAAAACCCTCAGTGCATTTATCTTTTATTTGGGGGGGTGGGGCATCCAAACCATGTGAGGAAAGGTGCTTTCCAAACATACTTCACGTCATATGGGTTATGTATTGGAGCTAAAAGACTGCCCCACCTCCCACCAAATCCCTTGCACTTTTGGTCAAGTTACTGCTCTTAAAAATGCAGCCTATATATGATGTAGCTTTGCACCCACTTCAAAATAACTATGGAGAACAAGATGTGGTGTTTTTAAAGATGCATCTGAAAACCAAAATAAATGTTCAGTGACTTATAAGTAAAGACTCTGCAGGATACAACATAGGATGTGTCATCAATTTCAGCATCATCAAGATAATGTAAAACAAATGAGTAGGAATCTATGAAAGTTCCCCATCTCTGCTCTGCTCCATGTTGGTTTTCAGCTTGAACATGTACACGTGGTTTATGTATGTATTGTTTTATCCAAATGTATTTTTTTAGTCCTCTTTCCTGTATTACAACCTTAATTTTGCAGCTAAGCTGTCATGCCACATCTAGCACTTTTGTAGCTTGATAAGCAGTTGTACTTGTTCATTTACAGGAAGCAAACCTGCTTGTGTTTTAGTTCTGGTCACTTCTGAAAGCAATGTATTGAAAACAGAATATTTAAAAGCCATGATTATTAACCTCCATTTTTATTGCTAACATTCTCTGCTTGTTACATTTCTGAAAAAAAAAAAAAATAGATTTTGTATATATTGTGTCATGGCCTACTTTGATTATTTAGTTGCTTAATGTGTATAGTACATTTCACACTTTTTCTGCTCATAGTTAGCATTTAAAAAATCTCTGACCCTGGCAGATAATACTTTTACATTATTATTTCTCATCAGAAGAATATTTTTAAAAGTGAAAATGCAGAAGATCAGGCTTTTCTCTCCACTTTCAGTACATAAGCAAAAAGCTACATTTTAAAAATAACGCCATTCAGCTGCTCCTATATGAAGCTGGAATACCCTAATGTATGCTCAGCACTTTGGATAGTAAAGCCACCTACTTATCTCTGCGTAGTTTTTATGGCTTTTGTAAATATTTCTTTGTCCTTGACTGCCTTGTGCTGAGTAGTTGTGCACTGAGCATAATGAATTAATATAAGCTCTTTTCCAGTTTCAGGTATTCTGACCTTCAGAATGTTTAAAAGAAAGAAGTAAAGAAATTGATAACAGTGGTGTTATTGCTTATATTTAGATCTTACAAGTGTTTAACAAAACATTGTATAAGTGATTCTTATAGCACTTATGTTTTGGTTAGTGAGCTCATTCCTATTTCAAAAGATAGGGAAATTGAGGTAAAGAGTTGAAGAGGCCTGTTCAAGGTTACAGAGCATGTCTTAATACACATTAATGATTTAAAGTGTTCTACCTTTGAAACACAAGGAGACATGTGTTTCTAATATGTATCTGCATTTTTTTTCAATGCTGTATTAGGCAGCAGGACAGTGCAATTACTTGCCTGTTATGTTTGGAATATGATTGTGCTCTCCCTTTGAAGATAAAGGTTTTGTAATAATAACAATAATAATAATAAGCTTGATACCATGAATAAAAACTCTTTTAAGGTTGGACAGCTGGAAGAAATTGTGCTCTGAAATGGCTGCATTTGAATTTAACAATGCTTTACCAATCTTTTTGGAAAAGATAGTTATTATTTTCCATGATTTTAGTTATCTTACAGCTCATACTGATTCTGAAGGAGACTCCGAGGAAGAAAAGGAATGTATGAAATCACCCGATGCCATTGTGAAATCAGAAGAAGAAGAAGAGTTATTCAGTCTTTTACAGCAGGTGGACAATTTGCACAAAGGTTCAGAGGATGATAAAAAGGAGGGCTTCAGACTGTTGCTTGAGAAAGATGACAAGGTATTAAATGGGTAAACTTAACATTATGTTGCTATGAACTTAGGCTTTGCACTGCTTTTGAGAACGTCCTTAACAGAAGCATTAAAAAGCACACAGGCACAGAAGATGAAATTTCATGCGTATTTTTAAAATACAGTGAAAAAGAAATACTTCAAGGTGGTGTCAATGTTCATGTTGGGTGGGCATGGAAGTTGTTTTATTTTATATCCCATCCAAGCTTAATAACTTTGAGGCTTCATGTGATGTATGTATGCTTGCATGTGACAAAGAAAGATCACGTGGGGTTTTTTCCCTATGTAAATGATACTTACTTTTTGCTGGTTTTAGAATGGTCTATATGAGAAAGTCCCGTGGAATTAAGTAGTAAGCAAACCAAGTGTTCTCAAGAAATCAAACTATGAGCTTGTAGTCTGCTTGTACCTTTCTGGTATACTTCATGTGAATTTTTCCTTTGACTTTACTGTGCACATATGTAACTCCAGATAAAATTGCAAAGTGGTTTGATGTGCAGTGTTCTTAATTCACCGTATCAGTTTCTTCTGATTTGGCAAACATTAGTTCTGATTATATTTTCATTCACATATTGAAATACACAGGAAGGTAGATGAAATACTAATTGTGAGTGAGTGTGGTGCTTATGGCATCCCTAAAGAAAATATACATCATATCATTCAGGGATTTGTTGTGCTTCACTAGAATACCTTTTTATTTTTTTTTAAAAAAGAACTTTAAAACTGATTTATGAATGAAAACCTCTTTAGACAGCCCAGGGTATTTCCAAAAGCTGCATTCTCCTTTGGTCTTGAAAAGTTGGTCATCTTACATAAACTAAAAGTAATATAGAAGGATGCAGAATAATCAAAGATTTATGCCATGTTACCTGGTTTAAGCATTATGAAACTGTTTAAATCACATTCTAATCAGTTTAGTTACCCAGCTGTCCTTTACTTTCAGTATGAAAACTGTGTGGAATTTCTTTGGAGACTTGCACGTGCTTATGGAGATCTGTTTGAGATGACTACTGATGCTGAGGAGAAGAGGAAATACGTTACTGATGGTAAGCAGAGGAAAAATGTTTGTGTAGAATGCTATCTGAATGTAGTGAAACATGCTTTGAACTTTGGTTAAGTTTCTAATCTAAGGAGTCTGCAATGCAATGAATGGGAGCATTTGTACTGTCATAATAATGTTTTGTGCAGTAAACTGCCACAGTATACAACTTCAGTCCATTCTTTCCTCACTGGAGAGATACAGAATTAGTGAAGAAGTATTGTGGGTCATTACTGAAGGCTATTGACTCCGGATGGTGCCTTATTTTATTGAGAATCAGATGAATGCAGAATGTGAAAAAAGACAGATGCTGTCAGTACAGTTTCTTAATTGCATCTTTGGGAGAGCAAGAGGAATAAATAAATGTCAAGGCAAAGTCAAGGTTTGCTTTTCTGCTTTCCTGTGGCAAAGGAGCACTCCTGCATATCAGCAGCCTCTTTTGTGGTGATGGAGGGGATGAAACTTTGTGAATCTTGAAAAACTGTTGACCAGAAAGAGAAGTCATGTGTGACAGTTGATGTTGCTTCCAGGCATCTCTCCCCATGTGTTCTGTCTGACGGCTTAACCTCAACAAGGCTTTCATTTTCTTCTTCACAGCACTTTTTCTTAGTTGCTTTTAAAAGCATTGCCCTTTCTTTCACTGTCTGGATGCATATTGGCTAGAGGTACTGTTTACATTTCCCTTTTTGTTTTGGGCTGCCTTCTCTTTATTACAATAAAACCTACATCTTTTCTACCCGTGTCACGTTCCTCCAGCCAACATGCTGTTCTTACAATAATCCTTTTTGCCTGTATCTGGGAATACTTCTCTCTTTGTTTCTCCATTGCCTTTCCCTTTTTTGCTGCACCAAATTCAGGTTTTATAAGTGTATTACAAGTTAGGGTTATTTTGTCTTTTGTGACTTTTTTCCTGTTTTCTCTTTTTGTTCTGTCAGCAGTGACAACATCACTGACAAAGCAGTTTTGACTGCCCTTTGTCATCCTTAAAGGCAGTGTCATGCCATTGTGCTGTCATTACATATTCTATAGCCAACCTTAGCTTGGCCAAGGTCCTTGTCCCTATCCTTTTGTCATCTGAACACTCATGAAGAATTGCACTGTTTTCGCTACTGAATTGATACTGTCTTTGCTTTCCTAGCAACCTGTCTTCTTTGTGTGGAAGTCACGCAGTGCAGTGAGGATTATGACACAAACTAAATCACAAGAGTAAACTCTATTGTTGGATCCTTTGCTTTTACCAATGACTACATGTAACCTCAACTGATGAAAGATAATGGCATAGCAAAAGACAGGGAAAGATAAAGAATGATGGAATGAAATTGGGTCTTAGGTGTTGAATAACCAGCCTAGTTTGGCTCATTCTCATGAGGTGGTGGGTGGCGGCAGCCTTTTTCATCTCAGTTTTTGGAAGTGGTGCAGAGGGATTGAGACTGTGGGGGAGCTGGCAGTGGTTTCATGGGTTTTTTTTTCATTCCACTGTGTTGGAGGAATGTGTGTGCTGTTCTTTGTTTTTATGAAGCTAACTTGCAATACAGAAATGTCATTATGGCTTAATTGGTTGCAGCTGAGACTTTGCAAACAGTAAGCATATCATCTGAACTTCTTACTGTGAGTGTGGGTTTGATCAAATCACCTACTGTCACCTTTGTTCAGTTAAAAGTGGAACGTAATGGAGGTCTTTGTGCTGGAAAGGAACTTCAGCTAGCTCGTTCCTGTACCCAAGGCAGGAAACAGCTTTGCTGGTTCTTCTGACAGGTGCTTCTCTAACCTGCTTTTAAGGGTCTTCAGTCTTACAGACAGCAGGACCTCCTTTGGCTGTCCAGTCCAATCCTTCCCTGATTTAGCTGCATTTGAATTGGATTTTAAGAGAAAATACTAAAATTGTACCCATATATATATATATGTGCACATATTAATATATGTAGGTATGGGTATGTAAATGATGTAAAGCCAGGATGTTACATTGTCCATATAAATGTGTACAGGAACAGGAAGCAATTTCTTCTTTGCAGCTAGAATATATCAGGTTGCTTTGGTCTTGGGAACTGCCTAAAATGTGGAAGGGTACAATAAATCCTTTAATATATTGTATTCCATTTACAGGAAAGATTAAAGCTGAAAAGGCTGTTCAGCTGGATGCCAGGAGTGCTGAGAGTCACCAGTGGTAAGTTGGAGAAAGTGTGCATTTTTGCAGTCTTGTATGTATTTACCAAACCCCACCAAAAAAAAACTAGCTGTCTTTGGCTTTAAATAGTGCACACAGAAAGCTACATTCATCATGCTGCAGTCTGACATCAATTTAATAAGTTATTCATTGATAACTTTTCATAGTTTTATGGAACTCAATTATCATCAGTTGCAGCTAAAAATTACATTGACGTATTCTGTGAAGCATTTACTATAGCATGTGAAACGACTCAATAACCATATGTCAGTATGTACTATGAAATGTAGAAGAGAGTATTTTCTTAAACCAGTATATCATTGCTCAGAGAAGCCAGTTTTCCATTTACCTTCTCTTTCAGCACTTAGCAAAATAATGTCATTTGACCTCACATTTTGTCCTTTCTTTTACTTGTAATAATCTAAATCCTAATAATTAAAAAAAGACAATGAGAGAACTGTGGAACTTTCAATTTTTGTTTTATCATATCATTTTCCTCCAAGCTTGGCACTTGGATTAATTCTGTAGACTTTGCCAGGACTAACAAACTCCTTGCAAATGTAAATATTTTTTATCAAATCAACATTATCAGGTAAAAGATAATTCTGCTGAGTTCTACCCAATAGTTCCTCACCTTACTATTTCACAAATCAATTTTACTGAGCTCCTGATTTCCTTTCTAATATCGTTAGCTTTCCCTTTCCATTTTGGTTTCTATGTTCTTCATTAATTTTGTCATTACACATGTAGGGTGTGATTTCACTTAACTTCTACATATCTAAACCAAATCCTCTTATCCCAGACTCCCTTCACAACCTAAAAAGTAGCCGCCACTTCTGGAGTGCAGTTCATCTGAGTCCATTTTGCCCATCTGCATTAGGGTGAGATGAATTTCTCCTGCGGTTCAGTTGATAACATCTCCATTGCCAATAAAGGAGGCACATGTCAGCTAGCTCAGATTTAGATACTTGATGAGACACAAATGTTTTCATTTAATTAGGTGACTCTGTGGCTTGGTCTCTCTCTCCTAAACTTCAAAGATGGCTATGTTACTGTTCCACACTGTGTTCCTATGAGCATTGCAATATTTCTATGATTTTTTTTTTTCCTTTCCTTTCTAACAACTAGTGATCCAAACACCTGCTTTGTAACAATGGGGTGCTAGAAGTGGTGTGCTGTGGGAATCTTGACTAAGCTTCACCTTCACAGACAAGTTTGCATTTGCTTTCCCATGCCTTGGAGGTAATGATAATGCCTGCCTGGAGGTGAAGTCTAGGCCCCAGGTGGCTATAATGTGGCAGTTTAAGATAGGAGCCGTTGCTTTTGGCCCTACCCAGCTGTTTCTTAATTTCTATCAGCTGGAGGTTGCCACCGTGGCAGCAGAACTAACAGAAGAGGATCATCTGAACATCACTCCTCAGTACAAGGTGATTTGAAGCCCATAGCTTGAACACCTGCTGAAAGCAATTTATAGACATTTCTGCTGTTTGCCTGACTACAGCCATGGTCACTCCTTCAGGGTAATGCTGGTAACCCGTCTCAGCTAGACCTATGTGTATAAACAACTACAAAATCACAGGCAAGCAACAGTCCTGCCCCTCCCTCCCTTCCTCCCCAGGCAACGAGACTGACAAAATCTCCTAGTGTAAATACCACTTAATTGGCAGAAACTACGCTGAGAAAAGCTTCCATGTTGTTCAGGAAGATGTAGGTGGTATGCTGGACTTCAGATGTGAGACCCTGTACTGGCAGGCATGTTTAAGCAAGGGAAGAATTATGAGTGTAAGGAGATGTGTTCCAGAGGTTAGCTCAGAAAGCCTATATGAGAGGTTTAAGAGGAAAATCTTATGTTTTGTAAGCTACTGCTTCTTGTAACAGGCAATGGATTTCTGGTTTACAGTTTTCATCCTTTTTGTATCTGGGTTGCAAGTGAATGTGAGGGTTTTATCAGTTACTGTTGAACTGGTGGCTTTCTTGTGGTGGAGATGGAGACCATAGATTTGAATAGTTTGGTATAAAACTTTTTTCTGAATATTTTATCTGCTTGTCTTTCTTTTCCGAAGTCCTTATGACCTGATGCATGATTTTTAAAGTGCAATGACCCATACTGGTTATGCTTCTCTAACTGAGGCTCTGAATACTGGTCAGAATGGACTTCCATGCTCTGGACAGACATTTGTATGTTTTTTGTCTAGCCTGCCAACTGTTGTTCAGTCTGTGGTCCCAGTAGATCCTTTTCTGCTATGCTGCTGCTTAACCAGATGGACTAATTTTGCAACTTCACATGTCTTTTTTCTTCCTTGGTAGAGTACTTTACACATTTCATTGATTTCCTACTGATTTCAGACCATTTCTCAGGTTTATTGAGGCCATTTAGGTTTGTAAATGCTTGCATCCCTTCCCAGATTACAATTTTGCTATTTTGTGGGTTTTTTGAAATCATTGACTTCATTAATGGAATTACTGGAAGATAATGGACCCAGCACAAAACATTGTGGAACACTTATAATGATGCTCAGGTTCCCATGGACCTGGTTCTGCAACCATCTCTACAGGTGATTAAACAATATTTCCATGGTTAGATTTTTGAGGATCATCAGGTAGGACAAAGTAAAAGGCTTTAAAGGTCAAGCTGTATCCCATTTATTGCACTTCTCTAATATTCCGGGCTTGTTTCCTGCCAGAAAATAAAAATATTTTTGTTTGGTACTGTTTGTTCATAACAAACTTGTGTTAACTGTTTTGTATGCTGCTGCACTTACAGAATAATTTATCCTGGAATGTTTTCATGTTAGGCTGGTTTGTCCGTAATCCCTTTCCTCCCCCCTTTCCTCCCCCCCTTTCCTTCTTGTAGATAGAAACTATGTTTGCCTTTTTCCTTTCTGCTGGGACTTTCTGCATTACCCAGGAGGTTTTGGTAGTCAGATCTGGATTGTTTAAGTCTGGCTAATGCAAATTTATCCAGTTTATCTAAATATTATTTTACATGTTAACCCCCATGAACAGGAAATAAGACCAGGGAATCTTCCCTGTAGAAACTGTGCTCTCAAAGTTGTATGCAAACATAATTTTGCCAGAAATCATTAATAGGCAAGAATGTGTGTGAACAGAAAGCAGTGCAATACAATTAAGGCACCAAAAAAATATATATAAAAGTAATACGAAATACATAGTTAAAAAGGATACTAAGAGAGAAAACAAATCTTAAAAGAAAAAATAGAACAAAAATCTATACAGAAATACTAGGATCACTAGAAGGTGGTCACTTAAGGAAGAACGGCGTACCAGTTTTATCTGAGTTCAGAGATGAAGGGCAGTACCCAACTCCAGATTGACACCGAAATGTACTGTCTCCATTATATGTGACTACACATGGGCAAGGGACTTGTCCTCCATTTACAGGGGTTGGAGAGTAGGTAAACAATATCTGCCATTTGATGAGTTAGGATGTTTGCATGACATGGCAGATATCACACAGGACTTTTGGGTGATCTGGACTCTTCCAGGCCGGCAGCTGGAAGTGGTGGGAAACCCTAGGGCATCTCCTGTGGCAGTAGGCATCTGTGCCCAAGGCAGGGATCCTGTGAACTGAACAGGGTCTCCATTGACTGTTACAGGAGATTAGATACACAGATGAGCTCAGCATGAATGCAAGCTCAGTGTGAAAACAATGCTGTCTCAGACCAAAATCCTTCCTTTTCATCTCGCCGCCAACATAAAATTTTCCTAAGCTGTGTAAAGTAAATAATCATAGCCTGTGTAAGATAAGTCCATCTGTTTGTTAGAGTTTTCTTCTTTTTCATGTAAGGTTATCTCATTCTATATTAGCTACTGATGAGGAAGCTGGCTTTCTGACCTTGATTAAGGAAAGTTTTGGTTGATTTCTTACTAATCTGTACTTTCTTACTTCTGAGGGGGTTTGATATTTCATATCAGCACAACTGAGGTTTCAACGTATGTTTGGTATAGCTGCTATCTATATTGTCTACTCATGCATTATTTCTAATGTTCTCTTAAACTGCTTAATATATTATGGTTTACTAAATGAAGGAGAATTAGATGATAGGCCTGTTCTTTTCCTGGTCCTGTTCCTTGCTCTCTACTTAACAGCTAACACTTGGAGGATTGGGGGAACATAAGCAAAGAATAAATTGAATTCAGCCTTGTTGGTTTAATCTTTTGTCATTATTTCCTTATTGCTGATTGTTCTGTACTTTCATTTATGTTTCTTTTCCTTCTGCTGTATTTATAGAACCTCTTATTATTGCCTTGTGTGTCTCTTGTGAGTTGCAATTCAGTTTGTATTTAGCATTTTTGATGTATATGTCTTTAAATATGCCATTCAGTTCTGATATATGTATTTTTAACACCCATCCAATATCCCTAGCTTAGCCATGTGTTCTTATTTTCACTTTTAGAGTAAATTTTTTTTTTATTTTTAAGTGAGTAGAGAACACCTTAGTGGAGCTGAATTAGTCTTTAAAACTATTTCCTGCCTTTCCTCTGAATCAAAAAGAGTCATTTGCTGCTCCGCTTTTGAATATTGTCTCTTAATAATTGTCCTATAGAGCTTTTTATAACATGGCGGCACTTTTTTTGTTTTAGTTTTCTTCATTAGAAATGTACACCATGCCTGTCAAGCAAGGATTACGGCTATAGACCTCTTTGGAAGTTTCTTGTGGAAACTTATTCC